GTTCTTTCGGTAGCCCTGCAAAAGACATAGTTCCTCATCAAGACAATGAGGCCTACATTCTATTTCTCAGTCTTCTTGCTCCATATGAATAAAACCAGTGTTGTGTCTTGGGTGTCCTCCTACAAGCTTTTCAGACACTAGGTACTACACAGCCAACTTTCAAGAGGTTGAATAGAAGTATTAACTACATGTTAGGGCAATCAACTGGGATGTCTTATGCAGCCACACTCCTGGATATACAAATAAAGGAACCAAATATCATGAAGTATTTTGTGATACCTGGGAACCATTACGTATATATGGCCTACATCAGGTCGACCTGATCCAGGTCATGGTCTTCGCAATTACTTGCTATGCATCAGAGAGCTAGACAATAACTAAGGATGACAGAAGAATCTATGCCTTTGATTTGTGGTGCTGGAGAAGATTTTTGAACATATCATGGACCACCAAGAAAACAAGTAGGTCTGTCTTGGAGAGGGCGAAACCAAGTCTCTCCTTGGAGGCAAGGATTTTGAAGCTCCACCTCACATACTTTGGGCATGTGGCCAGGAAGGACTGGTCCATGGAAAAGGAATGGTAGAGGGACAGCACAGGGGAGGCAGACCCCAGGTGAGATGGATTGATATAGTAATTGGAGTAATGTGGGTAGATGTGTCCGAGTCAGTGAGACTGGCTCTGGATAGGGCAGGCTTCAGAGCTGTTGTATATAGGGTCACTATGAGTTGCAGAAAACTTGATGTCACATAAGAATAACAACAATAACAAGCATTAGCTGTTACTCAATTTTTGGATAATTGTTGTATATACAGCTATCACACAATATTTTCCAATTAAACTTTTTTACAAGTGTACAATTTATTGGCAGCAATTATATTAGTAGGGTATACAACTGTATCTTTAATCAATTATTCCATATGCATATTCCAAACAATAATATAACTATTCCATCTCCATAAACAAAAATTTATGGTTTATGGTACTCCATAAGTAAGAGTCTTCCTCTGTGGCAACAAGTAATGAGTTTGTTCTCTATTTTATGCTTGTTCTTGTCTTTTCTATATAAGTGACATCATACAATCTATGTCCTTTTATAATTGAGATGTTTCACTTAGCACAATGATTTCAAGCTCCATCCATATTTACAGCATATACCAAAACTTCATTTCTCTTATTAGTATTGAGGGATAAAATCCAAACTGTACTGACGACATTAGCAGAAAACAAGAAGCCAGGAATTGATGGAATATCAATTGTGATGTTGCAACTAATAGATGCAATGTTGGAAGCATTCACCCATAGAGGACAAGAAACTGGGAAGATAGCTACCTGGTCAACCAACTGGAGGAGACTTATTTATAGTCATTAAAAGGAAATATAATCAAACAGAGTATAGATGTTATTGAGCAATATCATTAATATTATATATAAATAAAATTCTATCAAAAATAATTGAAAAGTGGTTGCAGCAATGCATCAATAGCAGACTACCAGAAATTGAAGCCAGATTCAAGAAAGGACATGGAACAGATTATTATCATTGTTAATGCCACATGGATCTTGGCTGGAAGCAAAGAATATCCAAAAGATGTTTCTTGTGTTTTATAGACTATGAAAAGGCATTTGACCAAAACAAATTATACATAGCACTACAAAGAGTAGATATTCCAGAACATTTAACTGAGCTTATACAGAACCTGTCGGGTAATCTTTCTAATCAAACAAGGGACACTGCCTGGTTTAAAATCAGGAAAGGTGTATATCATGGCTGTATCCTTTCCACATACTTATTCAATCTGCAAACTGAGCAAATAATAAAAGAAAATGGACTATGTGAAGAATAATGTAGCAGCAGGATTAGAGAAAGCGTAATTAAATCAAGGAAATAGTCAAACCAAACCCACTCTGGTGAAGGTGATTCCAACAACCTCTGATATGCCTATGACATAATTTAGTACGCTGAAAGGGAAGATGACTGAGAACAATTAATGATGAAGATTAAAAGCTAAATTACTGATCCAGCTTTCAGTATGGATTATGATTTGATGTCATAAAAACTAAACTCTTCACAATAAGCAAACAAGACAAATGGAAAAAAATGGAAGTCCTCAAGGATTTTATTTTACTTAGATCTAGGATCAGCACCTGTGGAAGCAGCTGTCAAGAAATCAATTGATGTATTACTTCATTGAGAAGATCTATTGTAAAGATGGGTCTTTTGTAAAAAACCAGTGTATTCAAACTTTGTAAATAAATCAGAGTAATATTAAAAAATTAATAAAAAGACCTTTTTATAGCATTAAAAGGACTAACATCACTTTGAAGACTAGGCAATGTCTGATCCAAGCTATAGTCTTTTCATTGCCTCATATGCATGCAAAAGCTCAACAACGAACCAGCAACAATATACTTACTCTTCTTGTTGTTCGGCCCATCAAGTACACTATAACTCATAGTGACCTGATGAACAGTGGATCTGAACCCTGCCCTATCCGAAGACATCCTCATTATCTCTGATATAGTTGAGTCCATTGTTACAATCACTGTATCAATTCATCTTGTTGAGGGTCTTCCTTTCTTTCCCTGACCCTCCACATCAACACTGGCAAAAAGGTATTCAACTGTATACATGTGCCATGTGTTATCTATTTATTTATATGTTTATAAGAATTTCAATTGTTTCTACTGTTTTCTTATTATGGATAGGCTATGGTGAACATTGATGTTCAATCATCTGTTTGAGCATCCAGTGTTTTGGGATATAGATGTGCAATTGCTGGGTCCTATGTTTGTCTTAGTTTCAGTTTGTTTGGGTTTTTTTAGAAACCACCACACCGTTTACATAATAGCTGTACCATTTTGCTCTCCCACCAGAAATAGATAAAACAAACAAATAGTCAAACAAAACACTGACATGGAGGTGATCCCAACTGTTGGTGAATATCCGCCGGATTTCTGAGGCTGTAAATCCTTATGGAAAGGAATAGTCTCATTTTTCTTCCATGAAAATGTTAGTAACTCAAACTGCCAACCTCCTGAGGAAAAGCCCTATAAGTCACACACTATGCTGTTGGATAAAGATGCCAATTTCCTCATATTATCATCAACATTTTCTAGTTAAGTCTTAGCCATCCCATTGAGAATTTATTTTTTTCCTCATGATTTTTTTAAATTATTTACTTTGTCATTGCTTCATTGCTTTTTAATTTTTTTTAATTTTAATAAAAGTTTACAGAGACATTGGATTTCCACTTATTTATCTGTTGTATACTTTCCTCCCTGCCTAACCCTGCTCCCAGTTCCCTTTTCTCTTTGAAAAGTAAAAATAAATAAAAATAAAAATTCATTCTTTCATTGTTATACAATTACACACCCCCACCCCCAGTCCACTCTACTAGGCAGCTTTCATTCTCGACTCTCTTCATGACAATAATACTTAATCACATATTCCTCCTAAACAGTTCTCTCCCTCATCTGTTTCAATGCAGTATACATTATTGTAGTTTTTATATGCTTCCCTCTGATAGTTGAAGATTCTGAGCATCTTTTCTTGCTTTGGTGGCCATCTGAATGTCCTCCTTCATGAAATATCTACTCAATTTCTCTGGCTGTTTTATGACTGGGTTGCCTATTTGTTGTTAAGTTGTTGAAGCTTTACATATATTTTGGTAATTAGATTCTTACCAGACATGTGGTTTGCAAAGATATTCAGGAGTGGCTTTTCACTATTTGGGTAAAAATCTTTTGATGAACAGAGATTTTAAATTTTTATGAGTCCCATTTATTCATTTCATTTTTTACCTTTTCTGCTTGTGTTACTATGTTACAGAATCAATTGTTAAAAGCTAGGTGGGAAAACATGGTTCTTGCATTTTCTTTTAGGATTTTTGTGGTTTAGTCTTCACGTCTAAGCTCTTAATCCATTTAGAGCAAAGCCTATAGTCTGGTTTTGTTCATAACATTTTTTTTAATGAATGTTGGGAAAAGAATCTAAGATCAAAATTGGGAAACATATGATTCTAAGGAATTTGGGGATATCTGAGCTTCATTACCAAACTCAGGAGAAGGCTTCATAGGGAAGAAGGGGTCAATCACGATGTCAAGAATAGAAGAAAGTGGAGGGCAGATTGAGAGGGTCAAAGAGTCTTTATTATGTTCCTGTTTTGCAGCAGCTGCTTTATAATTATTATGTTTTAATAATTATTATAATAATGATTATTATTAAAACCATAGGGAATTTATTATTCCCACTTTACAGATGAGTACACTCCACTCAGGTCATAGATGCTGCATGATTCATCACAAGTTGTACAAATTATAAGTAATAGAGAAATAAAAGCTAAAGTCCTGATGCCAAGACCCATTCTTGGGCTCTTTCTGCTGCATCCTCCATGCTGATTAGAATAGAGGACAGGCCAACAGTGGGCTTCATCTGCCCACATCTAAAAGTCCCTTTATGTTTCTCTCCCTCTTTCTCTTTTCCTACCTAGTGGCTAGCAGGTAGTATGAGGCAGCCAGGAAGGATGAAAAGAACCTGGAGTCTGACTAGCTGTGTTTCCTTAGACAATGCACTTAAGTCCCCTGAACCTCAGGAGCCACCTCTATGGAATGCAGATCAAACAATTTAAATGGAGCAAAATGAGACAATACATACACAACACTTAGCACAGTGTCAGCTGCACTGCATGTACACAGTAAGTATTCATCATGATCATTCTTTCTCAGAGGTTAAAAAGAAAGAAAAATATAGCATCAATTATTCCACAGCTAAACCAAAAAGGATTTGGGCATTTTGGATGACCATTTCTCCCTTTTCAATATAATGGACTTTATTTTTATCTGGCCCATTCAATAAATATCAAAGAAACTACTACTTAAGAGACAGATGTGAGGTTATTTCCCAAAATGGAGTTTCCACAATACTTGTGAACCTCAGAGTAATGTCTAAGTGAGGGGAGGGTATACCAGCTTCAGGCCCTCCTGTCTGGCACTGGACTTACATCGACTCCAGCAGCTGCATGTACTGCTCGTCCCCTCGGCCTCCTTCCACTTCATGGTCCAGCTTGAGGATGATTTCATTTTCAAACTGAGGAAGAAAATCAAAAGTAACAATAATATTAGACAGTCTAATGATGAAATTAGTCAGCGTAATGACTTAAGGAAATTCTAAGAGTCATCTATTATATAGAATGCAGAGAATTGGAGATGCTCAGAGGAAGATAATACTATGTGTGCCTCTTAGAGTTCCCAAAGCTCACCATTATACTATGGACCAAGTCAAAGGTCATATAGCCCTGGTGTGTCCAACTTGCCATACAGAGGTAATTGGTGGTTACTGTGAAGCTGAACACTGCGACACTGATGTATTAAATGTGATATTGGTCACCCATGGTGGACAGTGTATGGTAGAGTTCCCCGATTAAATCAAGCTTGGATGCAGGAGTGGCATCCACTTCGGTAATAGCTTGCCTCCAGAAATCCTATGAACCTGGAGAAAGGATGAAAGTCGCACAAGTGTAGAGGACTCTCGTCCATAGATTCACTATGAGTCGCCTACGACTCGACGGCACTGAACCACAACAACAACTGCCATACCAAATGTGCCTTTTGAAAGTATCCAGAAGGTGGGAGGAGGCCAAACAGCTGGTAAGTACTGGAGCAAAGAGAAAGGGATGGAAGCAAGAAAAGGAGAGAAAGGAGAAAGGAGAGTGCGATGTCAGGCAGTCTTCTCAAATACCATATTGTTTAAGTTAGCTATCAAAGAGTAAACAAATTTTACAGTATAATATTAAAGTAGAAAACCAACACACAAAAAGACAAGGAGCTATGTAAAAGGGGCCTCCATCTCCATGGAATGGCATGATGTCCTGGACAGCTATTATTTCTGACTGACCAGCGTCACACCTCTCCTAATCTTAGTTATGGACTGACCACACCTCCCTCTCTCCAGCTGTGGATACACACCTAAATGGGTATCTAATTTGTATATTCCATTATCTACATACCAGGATTAATAAAGACCTTGGACAAGACAATGTAGAATTTTGTTGTAACTTTTAGCTCAAAGAGTCCTTCTGTTCATTTGAGATGTAAGTCTGAAAATCTAAAGCTGTCAGGAATTATCACAATGAAAGAGCATGTTTGAAAATGACTCCTAGACAGAGGGAAACAAGGCAAGGAGATGAAAAGCAATAGAGATATGATACCATTTTGGGGCCCTTGGATCTACTCATACCTGAAGTTATCTTAATTTTACTGAACATGAACTAATAACTTCCTTTTAGATAGATATATATACACACACATGGAATTATTACATATAATATACAATATATATTATATTAGTATGTAATATATTTCTATATTTTATATATATTTATTTGGAAACACGAATGGCATCCACTTCCTAAACAAAATGCCTCTGGAAACTCTGTGAACTTTGATAAATGACGATAGTTATAGAAAGACTTCAGGCCTTTTGTTGATAGGGTCACTATGAGTCATACTCAATTAGACAGCAATCAACAACAACAACAACAAATATCAAGATCAAGAAAACAAAGATTCTCACCACTGGGCCAATTGGCAGTATCATGATAGATGGTGAAGAGATTGAGATTGTTGACAGTTTCAGTTTGCTTGGTTCTATAATCATCATTCTTGGTACCAGCAGCCAGGAAATTAAAATATTATTATGTTGGAAAAGTCTACTGTCAGAAACCTCTCCAAAGTACTGAAGAGCAACAATGTCAGTCTGGAGATTAAGATGTGCCTGATACAGGCCATGGTCTTTGCAATTACTTCCTATGCATCAGAGAGATCGAAAATGGATAGAAGGAGAGTTGATGCCTTTGAGGTGTGGTGCTGGAGAAGAGTATTGAATACAACATGGAATGCTAGGAGAATAAACAAGTTCATCCTAGAGAGAGTGAAACCAGGCTGCTCCTTGGAGGCCAGGATTCTGAAGCTTCATCTGCCATACTTTGGACACGTTGCAAGGCAGGATCAGTCCTTGGAGAGGAACATCATGCTTGGGAGAGTGGAGGGACAGCGCAGGAAAGGAAGACCATCGATGAGATGGATTAATTCAGTCATTGGGGTAATGGGGTTAGGTATGTCGGAGACAGTGAGATTGGCAAAGGATAGAGCAGGATTTAGGGCTGCTGTACATAGGGTCGCTATGAGTCTCAGGAGACTCAGCAGCACACAACAACAACAACAACAACAACACACACACACACACACACAGAGTTGTAATGTACTTTCAACTAGGAACCAACTCCCTGCAGAGAGTTTTCAAAGGCAGTAAATTACACAAGAGGATATTGACTATCTTTATTCATTGATGAGTTGGTGGATTTGAACCATGAACCTTTGTGTTGGCTGTACAACTCCTTATCAATGAGCACCAGAGCTCATATGTGAGTATGTATGAAATATGAATCTCCAAACTCATCAGAACATCCTGCACTAAAGTAAGAGAGTGATCTGTCTTTCTATTTTCGATGTCAAGAGGCATTTCATCCAGTGTAGTTCAAAGCTTAATCAACATATTTTCTAGAAAGGCCATGCAGTGCCTCCTTTCATGGCTGCAATGGGGAACAGTTTGCATTGTTTTAATATCACATCTTGAAGAGTCCATACAAATCATCCAGTCAACACCTCTTACATCTTACTAAGCAAAAAGATACTGGTACCTGGAAAAGGGAACAGGGGTTTGGGGAAGGTTACCAAGGTCAAGTCAGCTCTCAAGCAGGGGTTCCTAGTGTCCAACTCAGTCTCTTTACACTCTGTCCTCACAACAATCCACTGGGCTTACCTTTCCATGTGAAAAGGCATGTGAGGCAGCCAGCCTCCAGCTTGGGACAACTCTCTGTAAATGTTAGTTGTTATTAGAGATGGAGAAGACACTTTATTATATTCAGTCACTTATATCTAAAGCCTCAACCACAAGAGTGCTTCCAGCAGGTTCTTTCCAGTGCATTGCTCTGGTGTGGTGATGCATTAGATGTGATGCTGCTAACCCAAAGGTCAATCGTTTGAACCCAGTAACTAAAGATGAGAAGTCCTCTCCTATAAAGATTTACAGTCTTGGAAACTCAATGACGTTCACTATAAGCAAGAAGCAACTTGATAGTAGTAAGTTTAGCTTCAATGCATAAAGAATTAAGCCCTTTTTAGTGGGGAGCTTTATTATTGTTGTTAACTGCCATCAAACAGGCCCCTGATTCATGCACAGTGATTCAAAATACTGACTAGTACTATGCATGCCTATGACTGGCTGCAGATCCTAACATAGTGATCCATAGGGCTTTCACTGGCTGGTTTTAGGAAGATTACCGGGCCTTTCTTCTTAGCCTCTATTAGTCTGGAAGATTCACTGAAATCTACTCAGCATCCTAACAACACACAAGCCTCCACTGACACACGAGAATGGATACATCTGAGGTGTGCTGACCAAGAATAAAACACAGATCTTCCATGTAGAATGCAAGAATTCTCCCACTGAACCACCAAAGTCTCAGATGGAATCTTTAGAGGATGAAAAGGCAGAGAACAGAGCACCTTCTACCCAGTTCAAACTGTTACTGCGTTTGCTAACAGCCCAAGGAGGGAGTCAAAGTTTGTTGTGATTCAGCTGAGATAAGAACAAATTTCCTCTAAGTTGCCAGAGTTGAGAAACTGTTGAAAGAGGTACATTAGGTCTAGGAAGATAGATAAGATTCTGATAAATATGGTGAGAAAAGACATTCAGGTAAGGGGAGCACAGTGAGCCAAGTTGTGGAGGTGGTAATGTGGAGAAAAAGGAGGAAAGCAATTCACTTGAAGCAAAAGGTGAAAGAAATAAAGTTACAGAGCTGAGGAGAGACAGCGTGTCAAGTGTCTGGGTTCCTGGTTTTCAAAAGGGCCATGTCTCTTACAGGATGCATACAGTTAAGTAGCTTTTATATATTAAGTGCCATTCAAAATCATAGGTGCACCAAAAGGTTTGCTTTGTGCTCAGAGATATGTAGTGTGCCAAGTCTAGGGCAAGAAGAAATAAAACTGCAAAACTCTAAGAGGGTGTTGTCATGTTAGGTTGGATAGCTTGAAATAATCTTGGGAAAACTCTTAGGTCTTTCTAATCCTCAGTTTCAGGCTTTATATTAGTGGTTGGCAAACTTTTTCTGGAAAATGTCAGATAGATATTTTCTGTTTTGTGAGCCATACAATCTCTGTCGCAGCTACTCAATTATGCTGTTATAGTATGAAACCACATACAGGGATGACTGTGGCTGTGTTCCTATAAAGCTTTATTTATAAGAACAAGTAGTGGGTCTGATTGACCTGCATAACACAGTTTGTCAAACCAATACCAATATAATGGGCACAACTATAACATCTATATCATAGTTCCGAGGACTAGATGGGATTTGATATACTAAGCTCTAGCAGAGTGCATATGCTCAAGTGTTCACTTTGTTAGCGCATCCTATTCTTATGGAGGCTAATGTTACTGTTATTGTTGCCGAATGTTACTGGAAAGCAGCTCTGGGGGAGAAAACCAGCATTTTTATTCTTCTCTGAGTACTTCACTGGGAAATGCTGGCGCAGTTCCTCCTCGGGAGAGGAATTTCTTTTCTTTGGAGCACAGAAGAAATGGATGGGGTAAATAAGCACTTGTCGCAGGGTCACAAAAGGGCCCTCCAGGAGGGAAATTACAGGGTGTGGAAGAGTGCAGATGCTGCTGCAGTGCTGAGCCCTCAGGGCGGGCTGGGAGGCACAGGCAGTCAGATGCAGGGCTAGAGCTGCAAAGGGGCTACAGCACAGGCTTCAGCATCACATGGCCTCAGTCTCAACTGTGCTCTGACTTTTTCCCCCACTGGTGTAACCTTAAGGATATTACTGAAAGTGTCCTTCTTTTACTTTGTTTTATTGTGTTAAAACTTATATAAAAAACACTTGCTACATTAATCATTCTCATGCATGTGATTCAGTGACCTTAATGTAATCCATCCTGTTGCACAACCATCACCATGATCCATTCCATCTTTCCACCCCCCTTACTAAGCAATGCTTCTCCTTTTCCCCTTCTACCTATCCTGG